CAGTAATATCTGACAAAGCAGAAGTTGGCCTGATATTCATAACACCAGGCTGCAGTTGCAGAAGATGCTAATGATTGGCGTGGACAGCTCATCAAATATTTGAAGTCCGGGAGATTGTCAGAAGATAAGTCAATGGCTCATTAGATTAAGAAGAGAGCATTGCCATACGTCTTAGTGGACGATGTTTTATATAGAAGATCCTTCGATCAAATGTGGCTGAGAGCAGGCCGAAAGCGCAAAAGATCGTCAAGGAGGTACATGCAGGACTGTGTGGTGCTCACAAGTTAGGCCCGAAAATGAAAATGAAAATTAAAAGAATGGGTTACTACTGGCCAACGATGATCATCACGATGATCATCGACAACGATGATCATCGACTGCATGGAAGTTGCCAGAAGTTGTCATCAGTGTCAAATACACGGAGTGGTCTTGCATCAACCTCCGAATGTGCTCCAAGCGGCACAGAATGGATTGGAGATAATTCACCATCTACTACCCTAGAGCAAATGGATTGGCAGAGGCTTTTAACAAAACTCGTGCAGGTTTTGAAAAAGACATGGATGAAAATAAAAGATGATGACATGAGCAGTTATTAGAAGCTCTGTGGGCATACAGGACGACTGTCAGAACTCCAACTCAGGTCACGCCATATGCACTTGTGTACGAGTCTAAGGCCGTCCTTCCCATGGAAGTTCAATTGCCTTCTCTCAGAATTGCAGTAGCCAACAAAATTACAACAGAGGAAAATGCTAGACTCCGATTGGAAGAGTTAGAAGCCCTCGAGGAAGATCGTCTGGCAGCACAACAGAATTTGGAACTCTACCAAACCAAAATGATATATGCCCACGATAAACTGGTCCGCCCAAGAATGTTCAATATTGGTGATTTAGTTCTGGTTCTCAGGAGGCCTATTATTACACACCGTAAAATAGGGATAAAATTTGAACCAACTTGGGAAGGACCGTATGTGGTTGAAAAAGTTTATTCTGAAGGGTCTTACCAGTTAGTAGATTGTCAGGGTGAAAGGTCTATGCTCCCAATTAATGGAAGATACTTGAAAAAGTATTACGCATCGTGACGTTTCAGGGGACCCGGTTGCAGGTCCTATGATACGCAAATTGATAACTGTTAGTGACTGAATTCAAGAACATAGTAATAAAATTAACAAGAAAATATAAATTCTCATAAATAATAATAGTTTTCTTTATTTTTCTCAAATTTAAAGGTGTCATAAATAAGAATAAAACATGACCAACCTAAAGAAAAATCACATATCTAAATAATAATTAGTCATTGTTCCTGTTCATTTGATTACCAACGTGCTGAAGTTTCTTCCATCTTTTGCAGAGAAATGTCGAACGGAAGACTGATTTTCTCTTTTAAGAATGATATCAATCTCGATAAATCTCGATCAATCTCGCATTAAACAAGGAAGAGGTGGCACAGGGAGTCATCATTGATTTCGACTTGGACTTTGAGCAAGTCAAGTTGGAATATAAGAGGCCCCTACTAAGCATGATCAGTTCAAAAGAAGTGGAAGCTTTAAAGTCAGTACTCAGATTTAAAAGTAAGGAAAATGACACCACTGGAAAGAAAAGAAAGCATGAAAATGAAGGAGAAGAAGCTTGGGAAAATGATAATCCGTCAGGAAGAGTTGGGTAGATGCGGTCGATGGTTTTAACAGCAGAAGGATAGCTCATCAGCGCTCCAGTGAATCAAACTCCAGCAAATCTGCCGAGAAAAGTACCGTTGAAAGAAGCACAGAGCACTCGAACAATTAGCAAAAAGACAAAAAGACAAGCTGAGAGGAGGCAACTTCGAAGCATGTTCTAGTTTCTCAAAATAAAGAAGAAATGTCTGAGAAAATAATCGAGGATATTCCCCTTCAAACTGCAGCAGGAAGGCAGGTTCAACCAAGTCCAGCTATGGAGACTACTTTGCCGAAATATTCTCTGGTTGGTGTTCATGAAGAATACATGGAATATGATGCTCCTCGGGAGGAGTGTGTCATAATCCCGGCGATTCAAAGAAGTGAAGAGCATCCAAATGTAGAGCCATACATCCCGCAGTACGTTCAGCCCAAGAGATTGTAAATAATTTCTGAAGAGGAACTGGCAATGTTCTAGAAAGTACGAAAGCAGAATTTTAAATATTTTGAAAGAATACGAGGCAGATATGTCAATATACTAGAAGGATTAGAATTGCACACTGACGTCTTTTCCGAAAACGAACAAAAGAGGATGGTAAAATACATTTTTGATCTCAGGGAAAGAAGCCGAGAAGGCCTGTTGAGGAAAAAGACTTATTCGCAGCCCCGAAAGTGGATGAAGGGCAAGGGCAGGATCACGATCTAATATGGATGTTGTTATAATTATGCGCATGACAAAGAAGGGAATCCCCTAGGGATTATTCGACATGATAAAGTAGATTCATTGTCACCGCTTATGAAAAGAATGATAAAAAGTATGGTAGAATGGCGTGTTTTACCAGCAGATAGTGTACCAAACAACTACATAATTAATATTTATGAAGAAGGAGATTGTATACCACCTCACATTGATAACCACGATTTCCTAAAGCCCTTCCGCACTGTGTCACTCATCAACGAATGCAATATAATGTTCGGGAAAAAGATACGGGTGGTCGATCCAGCTGAATTTCGTGGATCAGTGGAAATTCCTCTTCCTGTTGGCTGAGTCCTGATTCTCAAAGGGAACGGAGCTGATTTAGCGAAGCATTGTGTGTCAGAAGTTCCGCAAAGAAAAATATCAATTACTTTCAGAAAAATGGATGACAGTAAAGTGTCGTTTGGATATCAGTCTGATCCAGAGCTTGAAGGACTTCGACCCTTAGAATTATGAGACAGACACGCCTTTAAGCGTATGTGAGGGGGACTTTTGTTTCGGAACATACCTTTGGAGGAAGGGCTAGTTTTTACATAACTCCAAGAGGTCAGAAGGATGGATATGGCGTTAAAAGTCTACATTTTGTTTCGATCAAGATCATGCTACGATCAGATTGTATCTTGATATACCATATTTTGAAGAATCAATGAAGTTTTCTTTTTGCATATGATGCGATTGATTTAAGGCTGTCAAATTAAATGTTAATTCAGTCTTGCAATGAACAGGTAACGATGCAAAATAAAATAAAGAAAACCTCTAAAATAAATAAATTTGAATGAAAAATATGTATATATATATATATATTACATTAAGTTAAATTGATCTTAAAATCCCTTTTCCGTCATAAATCCCTTGTTGGTGGCCCTTTTCCGTCATAAACCCCTTGTTGGTGGCCCTTTTCCGGCATAAACCCCTTGTTGGTGGCTCTTTTCTGACGTAAACCCCTTGTTGATGACCTTTTTCTGGCGTACCCTTGTTGGTGGCCCTTTTCTAGCATAGTATATAAATTTCCAACAAACCCAAATGGTGAAGGGCATCATACTCCAAATCTGAGCTATTTCTTCATAAAGAAAGCTAACTAAACCAAGCTAATAGATCTAATTAAGCTGGTAGAATTCAGAGAGTACATTAGTTGGTTTAAACAAATAAACTAACTGAACCAAATATCTTCAATTAATTTGGCTCAATTTATTAAAGGATGATTTGGATTTTAGTTTGGGGGTGAGGCTTATTTAGATTACTTCTAATGATTAGGTTCTAAAATCAAAAAAAGCAAAAAAAATCAACCAGAAACCAAAATTTCATCAATATATAGTTAATCAAGATTTGTTTCTTCCCACCTACTGATCTTGTAGAATGCATTGACATTAATTAGTGTTAAACACCATATTTAGGTAATTTTATCATTCATATTTTGCTTAGATGGTTCTTTAGAATGCCTTCCCTCATAGGATTTCAAAATCTGGCTAAAACAAGACCAAATCAAACAAACCGAAATGCAATTCTGTTTGGTTCAATCCTACCTACAATTTGGTCAGTTTGGTTCCACCTATGATTTGGTTTGCTTCAATTAGTATAATAAATTCATCAACCAAAATCCAAACTAACTGAAAGCATATCATTAAAGAAAATATTAGATTTTATGTTAGAATAAAATTTTAGAAATATGATTGAGCTTCAGCAAAATTGCATAACAAGATTCTTATTCCTGTAAATACAGAGTCGTAAGGATAGGCATGCAAAGTTTTTGTTCTTGGAGCAGAGTGGAAAATATATGATAAAAATTATAACAACATAAATAACCATAGCATCTCTAACCCCAAAGATCCCATTTTAAATAAGATTTGGAGAATGCCTACTAATTCAACTCCATTGAAGTTGTGTCATTGCTAATAATAGATTCTATCTAGCTTATCTCATCATTTTTTCTGAGTGTCGAAATACCAATTTGACATAGAAAGATTCAATCCCAGGACATAGGAAACAGCCATGAAAGTCTCTACCAACTAAAAGCTAATTGGCACCCACACAAAGGTTTGAGCGCCAAATCACCATTTTTATGGAGGAAGAATTCAATCTGAAGACTTCAGAATAAAGTATCAAGGTATTTACCAACTATGTTTGCTAGCATTCACCTATTTTGCATGCTTGCATTAAAGTAAAATGCAAGAGGGATTTCAAAACCAGAATGTACTGATCATTTTTAACAACAGCGTGACTCCCAGTGTCAAATACCACAAACTAACGCCACAACACTTAATGCATCGTTCAATAAAGAAGAAGATTCAGTTCCGCGACCACAGAAACTCCACTCGCCTTCAACTTACATCCGGTCCCCTGTTGTATTTCTAAACAAGCACAGATTTCAAAGGCCGCAAACAATGCAACTGAAAACGAAGAAAGATATTCACAGATCACACAAGACTGGTACTAAACGCCAGATCAGTGACTACTTCCGAAAAGTTCAATCTGCAATCAGTAAGTCTATTGACCACAACATCGCGCATTGCTCAAATCGAAGCAACGGCATTAAAAACGATAAAAAATTAACTACCAGAAATCAATAATAGCGAAAGATGAGTTCGTTGTTCTTACCCGCGGCTGCTGATTAACAGCTTGCTCCCTATGCTTCAGCTCTTGATCCGCTTCCTTGTCAGTGGAAACAGTCGAGAGCGGCGCCATTGCAGCGCGAGTCCTGGCAGAAGAAAACGATAAAGATGTATGAAAAGCAGATTGAATACCCCCGGAGAATGCCAAGCCGGAGATGGGACTTAAAAGCATCTCATGATGGGTCGAGAAATCTGGAGCAAATGGAGAGAGAAACATGGGGTTGATTCCCGTAGATGGGCGAGCGGAGGCTGAACCTGGCTGGGTTTTAGGGTGGAGGTCATTGTACTCGCGGCTACTACCGGTCTAGGGAGAGGTTGGAACTAGAGGTGTAAACGAGCTGAGCTAGCTCGTGGTCGGCTCATTTATATTTCGAGCTCAAAAAGTGTGTTCGTGTTCAGCTCATTTGCTTAACGAGCCGAACACGAGCTGTTCACGAACAAAAAGTCTTTTTAACAACCCTAATCATTTAGCCGTAAGACATAAGAGAATAAGTGTTTGAGCAAGTTTTAAAAATTATTATTTATATTAAAACATCATTTGAATCTAATTTAATGATTTTTATTATATTTTCTTTATAAATATTTTAATTGATTATAAATCTTTGTAGCCTTATAGTCAATTAGATTTTTTTTAAATACTACTTAATATATATATAAACTCGATGAGTAGTATTTCGAGCCAAAACGAGCCGAACACGAACGAACACATCTTAGTTCGTGTTCGGCTCGTTAACTTATTGAACAAAATTAACGAGCCGAACACGAGCTGTTCGCGAACAACGAGCCGTTTTGACAGCCCTGGTTGGAACTAATACTCTCAATAGACAGGACAAGCAGGTCTGGATAATTTACAATTTGATGCTATTACAAGGGATAATTTATGGGTATGCTTATGAAGTGTCTAACATCTTTAATTTTTACATGTATATCATTTTATTTATAGATGAAAATGAGTATTTTATTTTTAAAAGTTAAAATATTAAAAATTTGTTTATGTATTATGAAAGATTTGTGTGACATGTAAAAACATAGGAATTGGGTGGTATGCATAAGTTGAATCGTTTTGGGATAACTCGTGAACTCATAAAATTTGGGAGAGACGTTGAGAAATGAGTGAGAAGAAGATGAATTTTTTTAGTGAGATGATCATAGAGATTTTTTTTAGATCGAAATTGAGAGGTCCCTTCTCTCTTTATTTTTCCTTCTTATTTATATGTTTACAATCTATGTACCAGCAGAGGGGTCTAAAGACTAAAACATAAAATTAGGTTATATGTTGTAAAGTATGTAGCCTGAGCGGACTAAAGTTCTCTTTCTTTTGCCTCATAGAGCTGCCCATCGAGCCTAGTGGTGTAGTCGGGTAGTTGTCGCTGAGTTTAGTGGAGAGGTCCAACCAGTTCATGCAAGTATGTAAAATGAACTTGGGCTATGTGGACGAGCTTGATTGGAAGAGCTTGCTTGAAGATTAAGGTGAGATGAACACATTTTGAGAAACTCGTAGGAATGCTGACGCACTTCGAAGGTACTTGAGGGATCCATATGGGCGGCAAGGAGCTCTGTAGCTTATCACTTTTAAATGTACCACTAACGAGTATTATTGATCTGCTATGTGTCTGACCATTGAATGCTTGGATGGTAAACTCAATACATTAACCCGTGATGCCCATTTAATATTTGGGCTGCTAGTTGCTTAAAAAATTTCATTTTTGGATATACATTTAGTTGTCCAATTCTCTTAACTCTTCAACGGGATATTGAGAGAAGAATGAATCATAAAATAAGTAACCCTTGTTCATGACTAGAGGGATGAGATGATCACAACATGCGCTCTACCTTAGCGAGTATGTTCAGATACATACCCATTCATATTCAACTGAAATGATGTTTTTCACCACCAATAAGCTTTGTGGGTTATGCCTTGAAGAGTAACCAAGAGTTTACCACTGAGCTTGGACTTTCCTTACTTTGGGGGCTCGGAAGATATGCATGCAGGGAGTATTCGCGAGTACATTCGGGTTACTTTAGACTATTTCCCATTTAGGTTTCATCGCTTTCCACGTGAAGGAAGCGACTCATTTCATGATTATGACTCATAGATGTTTCAAGTGGATTTTTTCTTGCAAAGTTACTTGGGGTAGAAGTACATGTTATAACACACTTGATTTATTTCATCCATGAGGAGATATGTACTCCTAAGAAGCGGTGGAGAAGAATATGAAAAGTTTGAAACTTCCTCATTATGGAGCATGTTTGGTGCTTGAATTGACCAATTAACCCTAATAATGAACTTTATAACCATACTCATTTCCATCTCCCCCCCTCCCAACTAGGGCTATCAAAATGGTTTGTTGTTCGCGAACCGCTCGTGTTCGACTCGTTAAGAAACTCGTGTTCAGCTCGTTAATTCGTTCGATAAGTTAACGAGCCGAACACGAACTAAGATGTGTTCGTTCGTATTCGTTCGTATTCGGCTCGTTAATTTCGTTCGATATATATATTTGACTCGAAATACTACTCATCAAGTTTATATATATATATATATATATATATATAAAGTAGTATTTAAAAAAAAACTAATTGACTACAAGATTATAAAGATTTATAACCAATTAAAATATTGATTAAGAAAATAGAATAAAAATTATTAAATTATATTCAAATGATGTTTTAATATAAATAATAATTTTTAAATCTTGCTCAAACCCTTAGTGTCTTATAATTACATAATTACGGTTGTTAAAATGACTCTTTGTTCGTGAACAGCTCGTGTTCGGCTAGTTAAGAAAACGAGTCGAACACGATCACACTTTTTAAGATCGAAATATAAACGAGTCGTTTACACCCCTACTCCCAACAACACACACTCACACTCACACTTTCATGCAAATCCATAGATGTGTACATGTATGGGGCTATCAGGTGCGTGTAATGAGCGAGGGTGCATAATTCAACAAGAAAATGATAAAGAAAATAGGGAGATCAATAGGCAAATAGAGAGAAAACACAAAGAACCGAAATCATAAACAAAAAAAAAAGGGAAATAAAAATAAGAGTAGAGAAGAAAATACAAAAGAGATACACTAATCCAATAAAGATATAAGATACATCATACAAGAGTTTGTACTCTCATAATCGATCGAGATACATGAATCAACACCCGAAAGATTGACGAAACAAGGGGACACAGTATGTCACCTCCAACTATGAATGGACACATTTTCCAACACCTAAAATCGTCGATGCAAATATATTCTCATTCAAAAACCTATGGAGCTCCAAGCTCTCGCATATTTTTACCTCATTCCAAAAGCTTGTTGCTATTAAGTTAAGGAAGAATACTTCCTTTTGGTGGGAAAACTTAAAATAAACAAGGTAAAGAGAAGGGCTTTTAGAGTTGTATTTGTTTTCTCTTATGAAGTTTTGGTTCATCCAAACCTTACGCTGCACTTGTATTATAGATTGTCACCCGGGTAGAATTTAACCATTATCTTGTTCTTCGTGTCATTCACTGCTTTTCCTTCCAAGACATTTCCCCCCCCCCCCCCCCCCCCCCCCAAACGAACATCATTTTAGTATTAGAGCTTTGGGGTTCTCGTGTCTAATCCCCTTCTTGAACCGCTTGAAATCGTCTCTGGACTCCTTCTAAGATTGATTGGTGGGTCAATTTGAAGATTTAGTCAACCCAGCATGTGTAAGATTGATTCTTGATCCTCTCCTCCACAAAATCTAGCTGATATATATATATAGAGAGAGAGAGAGAGAGAGAAAGAGAGAGAGAGAGATGTAAATGCCCTTAAATAAAATACTGAAAATAAAATTTTCATGTGACAGAAGTTACCAATTCATACTTCATAGCATTCATGAATAACTCCTTTCCTTTTTCCTTGAGCAATTAAAGAAAAAAAAAGAATGAGGAAGTATTTCAAAACTCCCCACTGGCCAAAGGTTCAATCAAATGATAGTCTTCGCAAACGATAAAATTTTGAAAAGGAGCATATGTAAAATGATTGTTCTTAAAAATTAGGGAGCATTTATATCCATACACCACATAATTCTCATGTATTTGCATATCTAATTATCTGTTTGGACCAGCTACAACTTATTAAAAAAATAGTTTTGAAGTTAGTGAGACATAATCTGACATTTAAAAAGCTCTGGTGGCTATTACTTTTTTTTTTTTTTGTGAAAAAATCAAACCGCGGGTAGAAAGTTGTCACCTCACCTAGACAGCACCGTTGGGAAAACACAGATTTTAGCGACAATTTTTTAAAATAACTGTCAAAACGTAGTTTATTCAAATAGACAAAACTACAGTAAATCTAAAGTTTCATATTGTGCGTTCTTTTAGTATAAAGTATATAAATTTATCATAAAGAATTCTTCAAACTTGAAAATTATCTTTGTAAAGTTCATCCCTTAATGTCCTTGAATGTCTAGAATACAACTTACTTATAGATTGATAGAGAAGATATAATGATTTTTTTAATGGCAAATGAGGCCACTACATCACATATTCATGGTTGATCCACGTAATTAGGTAGTATTTTCTTAGATGTCTCAGTATTTTATTGTTATCTAAATATAGTGAACACATCTACCCTCTGAGATTGACAAATCCGCCAAAATCTATCATTGATCAAACGTTTTTTTTTTTTTTTTGGATAGCATATCTATAAAAATATATAATTATATAAATTACATGATTGATTAATTTGTTATTGGTCCATAAAGAATCTATTAATGCATTTACAACCAGGGGTGTAAACGAGTCGAACACGAGCGAGCCATGCTTTTGGTTTTTTTTTTTAACGGAGCCGAACACGAGCTGTTCACGAACAAAGAGTCCTTTTAACAGCCCTAATCACGTAGCCATAAGACGATAAGAGTTTGAGCAAGATTTAAAAATTATTATTTATATTAAAACATCATTTGAATCTAATTTAAGAATTTTTATTCTATTTTCTTAATCAATATTTTAATTGTTTATAAATCTTTGTAGCCTAGTAGTCAATTAGATTTTTTTAAAATACTACTTATATATGTATATATATATATATATATATATATATAAACTTGATGAGTAGTATTTCGAGCCAAAACGAGTCGAACACGAATGAACACATCTTTTTTCGTGTTCGGCTTGTTAACTTATCGAACGAAATTAACGAGCCGAACACGAGCTTCTTAACGACTCGAACACGAGCTGTTCGCGAACAAGGAGCCGTTCTGCCAGCCCTATTTACAATAAATTAAAAAATAATATTGGAGTAAACGATTTATATAAAACTTATTAGGTTATTTTTCCGGCTTTAATATAAAGATTAAAAATAAAATAAGGTATATCTAAATAAATTGCTGTCAATATAGAACAATTTATAACATTTATATGCAATATTTGTTATGAATCTTTCTTTAAAAATGTTGAGAAAAAAAATTCTTAATTGTATACTTTTGAATAGTGTGGGAAGAAAAGAAAAATCTTTGATTAGGGTTTGTTGGGTAAGCTGCGACAGAAGTGCGTTGAATTCTCTTTACAGGGGTTTTCAAAATTCAGGTATTTTATTAGAATAATTTCAAATGCAGTTTAAAATAGGAACATATAAAGAGGAAACGAAAGATAATAAACTTAAAATGACACTCTTGAGCAATGATGAGGGTGGTGACCGGCTATTAAACATCAAGTAGGTGTCGAAGTGGAGATGATTGTGAGGGCAGGAGAGTTGGAAAGGAGTTCTGGAAGCACCTAAAAAATAGGTGCAAGAAGTTGTGTGGAATATGTTGGTAGTTAGTTACGGTTGGAAAGGAGCAAGCTAGGTGAAGGAAGGTTGTACGTTACGACCGGGAGAAGTGAAAGGGGTCGGCGACATAGAATAGAGAAGGCACGGGGGG